GACAAAAAGGTTTGATTAAAGCCCAGTATCTTTTGGGGAGAGCAACGGGCCCACTTATAAGGCCCCCGCTCACCTGGGTTGTACCCATCCCCAATTACCAATACCAATACCAATACCTTCCAGCTGATTCTGGTTAAACACGATCGTTTCATGTGCTTTGACTCTGAGTCGGTTTGATTTAATTCAGAAGCCTGGTTAATATTTCACCWGATCTATGATTTGCAGTAGAGGAAATTGACCTGAGATTTATATGATGCTTGCAGATAAACGATGTAACAGATGAACATGGAGGGTCCTACCTGTGCTCCATCTCTAATGTGCTGGAGGAGAGTTGGACGGAGGCAGTCGACGTGGACGTCGGTAAGTCCTCAACGCAGTTGTCAAAGTGTGTCCTTTCCAACTGTCAGTGCTGTATTTTCCTCTAGGGTGCAAGGAAAATCAGAATTTCTTCACACTCCTTTTATTCCACTGATTTTTAGCTTGGAGGCTTATGAGTTGTTTCCGCTTTGCTKAGGGTACTTTCCCATTTCTAAAGACTGAAAAGGAAGTTGTTAGACTCCAAATAGCTCGAGGCTTAGACACACAACAGGAAAGTGATGTAAAGTGAAACTTCTTTTTACAGAGCTGTGTACTATGTTGGGGATATTACAGTGATTATCACAAAATAGTCAGTCAGTTAGTGCCTACAAGGCAGAGGCAGTTTTGTTCAATTTTGTTTCTAAATATTAAATTGTTCCTCTTGTATGCCTTTTTAGTGCAACCGGACCAGCTTCCTCCTCCAGCACTCACAGGTACAATTATAAGGAGAAAAAAACAAGAATCTTGGTAAACCTTTGTGTAATCTTTGGTTTAAGTAAATCCTTATTTTTACCCTCCTCGTTTCTTCAGCCACAGATAAAGTCGCCCTTCTCATCGGCAACCTGAATTACTCCAACTACCCGAACTTGATGGCGCCCGTCGTGGACGTACACGAGCTGGCCAACCTGTTGCAGCAGCTCGGCTTCAGAGTCGTTTCCTTGCTGGATCTCACCCGAGAGGAGATGCTGGCTGCTATCGACAAGTTCATACAACTCCTGGACAGAGGGGTTTATGGTATGTATTTTAAGGGATGTCCTACTAAAATAGCTATTTAAAAATGAATGGCATTAATGGATTTTTTTAATCATGTGAGGTTCTGCTTGTAACTTCTCTTTTTGTGTATGTCTACTATTGTCTATTATTCGTACTTCCTTAACTCTTGATTCATTTATGGATATGAATGGACAAAAACGGGTGAAAGAGTTTATGTTTAACAAATGTGATCAGATGAAATGTTTACAATATTTTATGCCAATTTGCTCATTGAAGTACGTAAATAAATACAGTTTATCTTTAACGCCGAATCAGTTCATTGGAAGTAAACATCTATTCTGCTGAAACAGCAGAAATGGAAGCTCTAACCTCACTGTGAATTTTTTCTTTGAAGTGAGCAATCACAGCAATACTATCTGTTTCTGATCTCTTTTATGTCTTATTAATAGTGAAACTAAAACACAAAGTATTTCAAATATTATGAATCTCTGAAAAAGCAAAGTTGTATTTTCTTAGTTGATGTAATATTTTGTTATTCACAGGCCTTTTCTACTACGCGGGTCATGGGTACGAGCACGCTGGGAGGAATTACCTGATTGCTGTTGATGCTCCACAGTCGTACCAAACCAAAAACTGCATCTGTGTGCAGCGGGTGATGTACAAAATGCAAGAGCGGAAAACTGCACTGAGTGTAATCCTGCTGGACACCTGCAGAAAATGGTAATTACACTCAGTTTCTTTTTGATTTTTAAACGGAAAAAGCGAAGCATGGGACTTTTATTTTGATTTAAAAAAAACAAATTACTAAAATACGAGTAATGTAGATTCTTTCTAAAAACCAAAAACCTGTTCTTTAGGTACAACCAGGATCGTATCCCATCATTTATTGAGCCACTAGGACCAAATGGGAACACTGTGTATGGTTATGGCACGTATGTATATATTTTTTTCATTTAATGTTTTGTCGAAACTGAAAATGCGATTTTTCAAAATAAGAGTATTCATTTTACTTAACGTGATTCAGAATGGGAAGTGAAATTCTGTTTGTGATCGGCGTTTGTTTACATTTTCTTCACGGGCTCTTTCAGATGTGAGGATGCTGAGGCCTACGAGGTCCAGGACGGGGGCAGGAGTTCAGGGATCTTCACAAAGTACCTGAACAGACACATCCTGCAGCCAGACAAAGTCACACATGTCTTAGAAAAAGTGTCTGAAGGTAAGGACCTAAAAAGACTGCCATTCTGACTTTGATAAAGTAATTGCAACTAATTGATTATAACTGTTTTTTTGTTGTCAAGTCAGCAGATTTCTGTAGTGCAGGTGAAAATATTTCTTAAAGTGGATACATTTTTGGATGATAATATTGATGTATGAACTTTATATATATATAAGGCTTAAAGTGAGCTTGTAAATAAATMCTTGGCTGCTTTTTATATCTATTCATTTTTTGAATGTTACTCTGCTAACCAGAGCTGAAAGGAACAGGTTGTCCTTTGGTGTGTTGGATGGAGCACAGACAGGTTTTCTAAACCCTTACATCTCCTTTTGATGTTGTTTATGAGGTGTTTGCGTGGTGGTGACTGGGCTGGGATTTGAGGYTATCAAGTTCTCCTGTCTTGAAGGCTTGTTTGTCTTTTTTGTGGCCTCTGGGGAATTACATTTTCGAGGTACCTTTTAGCATGTGACCTCATTCTTTGGAAATTCACACTGTTGGCTTGAGAAGAGCAAGAAACCYGAGAGCCTGCAGGGAGCGAGACAGCTGCTCTGACGTTTGGACCCCCCCTCCCGTATTTGCTCTCATGGGGACGCTCGCAAATCAGTGCCAGTACGACAAGCCCCCCTACTGACAGCATGCCGTGTGTCGAAATCCAGGAGGATTTACTCGGGGTGAACAAATGTACAATTCTTTTACCGGCTGTTTCAAAACCGACTTTATCACTGGAAGCAGCATAGAGGGTAATTAGGCATCGCTTAATTGGCAGTGAATAGTCATAGCTGGAAAATATACTCATCTCAAAAGCAAAGCGTCAAATATTTTTWAAAATCCCCTTTATTTTTTAAAATGACCATCAGGATTATTTAAGTCCAGTTTTTTCATTCTTTTGAAGACTCCACACCCTCCTAAAAAAACAAAACAAAAAACAATTAGCTCACTTGCTTGGAAAATTGCATACTATTTTCAAATTTCCCCAAGTTCCTTAATTTTAGTCATGTGAGTCTGAACTTTTCAGTTTGTTTTGCAGTTCCCTCATTCCTCACGTTACGTTTCTGTAAACCTCAGGTAGCCCCACGGTTGGGAGGCTAATCGGTAAAATTAKCGTCGGAACGATTACAGCTGTTTCAGCTGAAAGTGCTGACTTTCTCAAAATTTTTCAGAGTGGACCATGAGTTTGTATGGGAGAGGAATTACAGTTTCATCATCCTGTCTTGTTTACATTTTCTTTTCTTTTTTTTTTTCTTCTCTCCACCAGAACTTGGTAAAGACCCCCTCGTTAAAGGCAAGCAGGCAGTGGAAATTAAACACACCATGAAAGAACCTCGATCCCTCACCGATKCAGTTCGAACCACTGGCCACACAAAAGAGCTACACCTACGCAACGTTTGCTGGAGACAAGCAAACGGTGAGTAGGGGGAATTTCTCACAACCTACAATGCTTTTTATCCTCTTTCATGTTGTTGAGGTAAAAAAAATAATAGGTCGTGCAGATATGCATCAAACATGATTTAGCCTTTCATCAAACACATTTAACTTTTAAAAAATTTTGTGCCGTAAAATGTTCTATTCAGATCAGTATACAGTGTGGTTTAAATGGATATTTGCAATATCATACAAAACGTCTACGCATTTTATAACATAAATAAGGAAGTGGAGTTCGTTGTTCATTTTCCTGTTTGATGGAAGCAAGCTATTTTTTTAACCATAGTTGACTTCCTCAAATTGACTTTAAATTAGATGACAAAAATGTGTAACAAACTGTTGCAAGTTTTTTTTTTTTTTTTACTTGAGTAAATGCACGACACATTCTTTAGAAATAAATACTTAATTTAGGAAGAATCTTTAATTATAATTTTTCTTTGTTTTCAGAGTTGCCACGTAAAAAGCTGCTGTGGTTCCCTTGCGGAGTGGAAGTGGAAGTCAGCTTTTCAGCTCTGTTCTCTAATGTCTTAGTAGCTTTTGCTACTATAAAGACTGTGGGTGACCATACCCAGGACTGCACCGTCACTCTGAGTAGCACACCTGTAAGTGTTTATTTACTTAAACTAAAAGACATTCTGTCAAGTGTTTCTATTAGCAAAACGGGCAGCACATTGATATAAATGATAACAATAAAATACGTAAWCATTTTTTAAACGGGGCAATACAATAAATGGAAGAAATGTGTGCAAACATGTCACYTTTTAGCTTGCACACAGCTTCCTTCTAAAAAAACTGAAGCCTTTTTTTCTTGTAACTGCTTCCTCGAGTTAATCTGAGGTTAAAAACCTACAAGCTGTGTCTACATCATAAATTCCACGCTGCCCGTGTTGGAATGCAGCGAGTTTCCGTTAGCCAGACGCAGCAATGACCACTCACACCCCCGCTTAACGTTTCTGAGGAAGTTCTCCCCATATATGGACTTCCAGCACACTGCAACCAGTGACAAGGCAGGAAATACAAGCGATATGGCTGCTCTTGGCCAATCTGGTTACAGATTGTCGAACCACACTGACATCCTGTGGTTGATTTATGAGTTTGAGAAAAACAATCCCAACAGTGGAAATGAAAGTAGAATTCATTTATTTTGATTAAGCTAATTAATCTTTATGTTTTGACTCCTTAGGTGATGGAAGACATGTTTTCTAGGCCGGGACGGTCAGAAGAGATGGACTCGCTCCTGTTTAAAGCCTCAAATAATCCAGATTGTACTCTGAGACTTTGCTCTCTTCAGAAGTTGAAGGTATGCTCTCAATCGGACTCATATCTGYATCTGAGCTGCTTCGTTTTTGCCAATAAATTTAAGGTCTTTGCCATTTCCTCTTGCTAGGAGTCATTGATCATCAAGGTGGATCTACATTATACTCACAAAGACAGTAACTTGCGTCAAACTGAGAGCCAACAGGTGGACATAGGAAAACCCCTGGTGGCGTCCTGCAGGCTGTACAAGGAGAGTCACGCAGCAAAAAACAAGAGACAAGACGGCACTTCAGCTCAAAGTATGGGCAACATTTCAAACAGCACGTCACCGTGGCGTCAGACCCCGGCTCGTCCGTGTCACACTAGAAAGGCAGTTTGTGCTGCTAAAACTGAAACTGTCTGGAGCAACGAACCTGAAGAGAACGATGAGAATGAACTGTGAGATTTATGACTTTTACTTTAAATGTTTTTGTATGCAGTTGATTATTAATCCTGTCTGTAATTGATGAAAACAATTAAGTGAAAGAACTGAAAAAAACAAAACAAAACAAAACAAAAAAAACACTGGTTGTCTCTTGAAAGAGTATACTTCTGAAGAATTACTGTAGTTGACACTTATTATTTTAAAGGCAAGCTGGCTGGCCTGTAGAGGACATCACTATCAATAATTTATCTAATAAATAATATTTCTTCCTTTCAAGTTTTGGAAAATATTATGTTATTTTTAAACCTAAGATCAAATGTACATTTTTTTTTTACTAAGAAATATAAAACTGCTTATTTAATCAGCTATTGGTGCTGAAATAGTTTTTAATAAATGTTTGGAAATTAAAAGATTCTGTCATGTTTCTTACCTTTTTGTGAAAGCGGGATCACAGGAAGCAACATTTTTTTGTACTTTTAAAAAAAGAATGTATTTACAAATGGAGAAAAAAACTCTTTTTTTTTGATTTATGAAAAAAGCACACATTAATCTGTAATTATCCTATTAGAAAAAACTTAGCATTTTAAATAAATAAGACCAATGCAAAAATATCAATTATTTGCTTATTTTATCTGTTAGAAATAGGATAGAAAATATTCGTGGGCAAAATGCTGCTTTCTGTAATAACCTCCTGTTTCTCCATCTCCTCAGTAGTAATAATAAACATTATGGTTTGTAACTTCATGTTGTGGCTGTAAACAGTTTTGTGACACACATCATGACAGTGTAAATGAGATGAGAAATCAAACTGGTTCCCACCAGCCCTGAACGGCTCGCCGTGATCGTATAGTGGTTAGTACTCTGCGTTGTGGCCGCAGCAACCCCGGTTCGAATCCGGGTCACGGCATGGTTAAGTCTCAACGGGGTAGGCATTTATTTTAGTGTGATGCTTAGCTGTAAAATACTGTGGTTCTTTCAATCAGGGTTATTGGCATTTTCGACAGAGAATTTCCCCCTCCAAGCAACTAGCGTATAGTCATATTGAAAGACGTAATTTTAAAATCATTTCTGTTTTATTTTTATTTTTGCAACTGCCTAAAGTTTGTTAAACAATACAACAAATGCATTTGTCATTGTTCAGATTTAATGCATTTCTTCAGTCACACCAAAAACGCCATTTAGTGGAAAGAAAACATAAAAATATAGCTTTTAACTAGTCTRTTGAACGATTACAAACACAGCCCGACATTTAATTAGACAACGCATCAATTGCCCATTGAAATAACTTAATTTGCATAATAAAACAACACAAAATTAATAAGTGGYAATCAACTCTGGTCGTGGTGAAATTAATTAGTTATAAAACACTTGTCTTGTAATTAAACGCAAGTTCAGCAAGTGACCTGCAGGTGGCAGTGCAACACATTAAATTTCTGCTCAGTGGTAAGACACCTGAGGCCAGTGGTTGTAGGTCAACCTAAAGAGGGCTTTGGATCTGTTGTGAAAGCCAATCAATAAAAGTGGTCGCTTGTTTTGTTTTTATTTACTTGCTAACAACCAGTAGCAGTGCAATCATTGTTTCGCTGTTTTTGTTCTGTTTTGTTTTTGCAATTTCTATAATAAAATAAATGTACACAAAATTCTAAAATTATTTACAAATACCTGTCCCCTTAAAATCATTGAAATCCCTTTAGCTACTCAAAAAAAGATTGTTCTTCATGTCTACTTGCCCTTTGCTATTTTTATTTGTTTGCCACCCTTCTCCCTTTGACTTTCCTGATTTTAGTGGTTTGTTACTTTCAGGTTTTAGCTTATGTTTTGCTTCTTATAGTTTGCATTTAGCTGCTTTTTTTCCTTTTAGCAGTTAATGTTCAGCTTCTTTCAGCTTCAACAACTAACTTCTTTAGCACATTTTTGCAGTTACTCAGCATTTATGCTGCATTTTCTACATGTTTCTATTTTAGTTTAAATTTCAGAAGGCCTGCACGAATTCTGAGGCATATCGGGTATAATCTGATTAAACAGAAAATAGATGTGTCAGGAAGACAAACTGCAGCGTTGGACAACAATGTTGGAAATAATCCTAAACACACGCAGCGCAGCCTCGTGCGCCCATTGGCTCACTTTGACGTCAGTTATCAGTCGGTCCCGCCCACCAAGCTGAAGTGGCAGCGCTGAATGGCGAGAGGATATAAATCTCTCGACCGTAGGCAGACACGCAGCACCGCCGACTGGATGCGGGCATCCTTGGGTTCTCCTGCGCTCGACACGGAGCTACGAGAGTAAAACTTCTCGGGACAACGATGGTGGACGCCTCGGCGGCTGAGTCCGCGGCTGCTGGATGTCTGTGGGGGAAACGGAGAATGCGGTCAATGTGACGTTCACTTGCACGCTCCGGTGTTGAGTTTATTGTTCTGGTCCTGTAGACGCCAGGGAGGAGAGAGAGAGAGAGAGAGAGCTGCGGATCTTTGGGGAAGATGTTGAGCCGATTCATGAGTGGCAGCGTCAGGAATCTTGAGCGGGAATACAACTGCACGGTCAGACTGCTGGATGATACGGAATATACGTGCACCATTCAGGTGAGTCACCTGTCGGACCGAACTGAGACCCTGCTGCGTTTGGGCTCTGATCATCTGTTTAACCCAGACCAACTGTGGAACCATGACTTATTATGCTGCAACATTTACGTACATTTTTATTCATCATCAAACCTCATATAGCATCATCTGAGACATCAATAAATCTTTAGATTAATTACAAAAACAAACAAACAATAAAAAAACACTATCACCCAAAGGAACTCATTGCAAGCTACTAAATAAAAAATATATAAAGGTTTTTTTCTGCATCAAATAGTTCAATTTGAAAGGGTTTTCTCCAGTAGTTGTCCGGGTACACTATATTGATAAGTAATTCTGAAATGTGCATATGCACTCAATGTAAACAAACACTGAGCTGAATCCACAGTGGAAGCTGGAATCAGATGACTGACCTACATTAGGCTGGCTGCAGTCTGTGTAAGTAAACAAATATGGTGGAATTGAACAAGAATTTCAGACTTGTAGGTCAATTTTGTATGAAATTACAGGAGACGACAAATGTTAAGCGAAAACATTCAAAGAGTGGCAACGTCTAAGATGGCCACCACAGCCATCTGACCCTTAAAACCAAAAAAAAATGTTTATACTTCAGTCTATTTGACAAATTATGAGCTAAATATTGATGCGGTAGTAGATGAGGGTCATCCAAGGGGTCATTCGCATACTTTACACTGTAAAATCAGTTAGTTATCATTACTTAAAAAAAGCTTGTAAACCGATTGCACTTAAAAAATTGAGTACACTGAACAAGGGAATAAATACTGAGTGCAATCGGTTTACAAGCTTTTTTTAAAGTAATAACTAACTGATGGATCCAAGGGTTACAGTCTGCAAGCTTTAATAAAACTCATCCAATGATTCATGAAAAATGTTGTTAACACACATAAACAAAATTGCACAAAACACAACTGCCTGCCTTTCGCCTTTCAGCGTCAGGCGATAGCAAAATCAAGTAAAAGCAATTCTTATAAAGTCTAACAACTGTCAGCTGAGGTGTGTTGCTTTGAAACATAAAACGAGCCRGGGCCTCCGTGTTAAAATGTGTCACTTGGCTTGTTTGTTTCATTTCGAACAGCCTTGCTTTGATAGTTGTGCGGTTTTAGCTCGATTCTGATTTGATTAAACGTAGGCCTGTCAGTGCCGTTACAAGAAAAAAGTGTTTGAAAAAGGAGGAAGTCCTTGGAGAATGCACTCAATACAACTGTTATTTGACATAAATGAAACATTAATAACGTAAATTATTCTGTCCGCTGTGATATTTGTTGACGTCCAGTCTTCTACCCCAGTGGGTGCGTGTGAAATAGATGCTGCAGTAGGGTTGCTGTGCCTGTGAGCCCAGGTTGTAAACAGACCTGCGTTTCTGCTCAGAGCCTRCGCGAGTGATAGTGCTGTGCCAGATGGACTGTGAAACCAGCAGGTGTGCTGTTTGCAGCAGAGTCSGGCGGCTCACAAAACCGAAGTGGAAGGAGGGGAGCGGGTGGGGAGCGAAAGGGGAGAACGCTCCCCAGCTCGGCTGTGGCTGTCTGGCATCCTGATTAAATTTTTCATCCAGTGAGGGGAGCAGGACAATCCAACTGTCTAGGCACATTGCTAATGTGTGTTCCACATTTAGTCTGGTCCCTCAAGGTTTGAAGGCCTGCCAAAAAGAGGGGGGGGGGGTTTGAATGTATCAACCTGGATATACAGTAAGGACTCCAAGACTGGGGAATGCAAATTTAAGAGGCGGGGGCAGACTCTCAGACTGTTTTTTTAAATTCTCTTTCTATTCTGCTTATTTATTTATTTTTGATACCTGTTCCTAAAGTGCACCTTTTATTTCACCCCCTCTAGACTTATTCCCATCAAACTCAGCTCTTTTAAATGGCACCATAGTCAGATCTGCCTCCAGCTCAGGTCATCTTCAATCACATTCCCATGTTGTCTGCGTCTTAAAGCCACAACTTAAAGTATAAGAAAAATCTAACCTAAGCTAAAAAAATTTAACAAGTAAAGAAAACATGTCCATGTGCATTCTCAGCTTGTAATGCACAAGCTGAAGTTTTGCATTATTGAATTGTGAAGATTTCCGCTAGGCTGGGGGCAGGAGACGTGAGTGCTTATCAGTGCTTATTACTGTAGATGTAGTCCTCTTAAAGCTGCAGGTTGATGGAGGAGTCTTGCTTTTGCACTTTTCTGTCATTTTATGCAGTTTAAAAAAAGTTGCATCTTCAAGAGAACCAACTGTTCGTGTTTTATAACCAATTATATCACATTGTAAAAAACAAAACACATTTCATGTAGCACAGTCAGTTGTAAAATGCAGAATGCATGTGCAATAGTTTTAATCCCTTAAGCAAAACCAAAATTTTGAATTTTGGACATTTTAAAGTTGTTTATCTTGAGTTTACAGGTTTACTTTTCTCTCTGAAATAATGGTATTTAACATGATGTCTCCTTCTCAACCACAGTTTAAAGAAGCAGATCTTTTATTTTACAGTAAATCAAGTTTTTTGTCTGCTTTGATGTCATATTTGTGTTGCCATAAGCAGTTGGTCAAAATGAGTAAAGAAATAAAGGTAGGATATTGGAAAAATATGTAAATTAAGAAACTTTAATTAAAACATCCTTCAAAATTAATTTATTTTGTTTTTTTAGCTTCACAACTTCATCTTCATGTGATGTTTTTATTCAGTATATATA